CTCTTCCCCATGTTGATCACGGCCTTCTTCTTGGTCTTTTTCTTCGTAACCAAAAATGCCATCAGTTCTTGCTGCTCCTTTGCTAAGTAAAGCAACGTTTCTTGAAACTGAGAGTTTTGAGTCTGCAAGTCATTCACAATTTTCCCGAGATCCATCTTGTACTGAAATAAACAGTAGAAAGATGAGGAATCTTGTGTCAGAAAACCTGCTTATGATATGATGCATGTGATACGAATGCGAATGTTTTCAAGGATCTCATGGGGTAAACACCAGAAAATGTTAGAAGTTGAACTTTGATTACAGCTTTGAACAACTTTGTATCATTGAATGTCCTTCTATGAGAATCAAGCTCACCATGTCAAGTGGGTCACAGCCCTTGACTCAAGTTACCGTGCTTTGGTTTTTGACAGCATTTGGCTAGAGAAAAATAAATCCTCTTGCCCCTTGATAGACGTTTGGTTCAACATAACCCTGCATCATAATCCCTTGAGACCCTTTAAATTGTTATTGAAAATTCTATGGTATGATGTCATGATGTTTATGTACAAGTAATCATATACAAGCAAATAAAACAAGTCCTTAGGTTTAGGCTTGCATGGGGTTTGTAGGTAAGTACCCTCTTGAAGTTTAGTTGGTTCAACCTGTCCTAGAAAGTAATCGGGTTCTATGAAATCTCAATATCACTGATCTTTCTTCATTGGACATTGTTTCAGCGCAAGCCTCTTTATTGGTGACCGAAATATCCCAAAAGTCTGATCTCAATGAGCGTAGCATCGAGTATCAATCAACTTCGGACTACACCAAAGTCGGCTATCTCACTACTTCCTAATGGCCAAGTTGTTCAACAAAAGGATCTACGGTCAGTTAGTGCTTCATGACATTGCTCAGAGGCCCCGTATTCTCCATGATTCAACACAAAGGATATTGGTACCAATAAATGTGTCACACTAACGTAGCCATCGCTTCAACCATGTGGGTATACCCCGCACAGTCCCCACGATCTATTGCTACTTACCTAATAATGTTCCTCGATCGGGTTAGAGGATCAATACAAACCCAAACAAGGACCCATATATGTAAAGCAAACAAATCAAACAAGTACAACATTTTAAATATGATCTAGCTCTAAGGTAACCCCACTTTTAAGTATGTCCCCAGCAGAGTTTTCAGTTCTGTAATACGGTGGGAGAACTGACTTGGGTGTTTTGTGTTTGATCGTAATTGTTGCGGAAAATAAGAGTCGCCACCGACTTTTGTTTTATCCAATAAAGGAAAGGGTGAAAAGAAAAGGAAAGACCTTTTGAGATATTTTCTTGAGTTCGAGAGGGTAGGTTATGAAAAGGGAAAGTGTTAGCATCCTTTTCATCTGTAGTTATCTATAGGCTCTTAGTTGCTTGATCACTTTGAAATGCTTTGTTTGAAATGTGTTTGTGAATGTTTTTGAAAGTATTTTTGAAAAGTGTCTTCGTTTAGGAAAACTTTGTAATGATTCTCATCTCTATAAGAATGCATAAAAAGTGTTGACTTTTGAAATATTTCATTTGAAAGTGTTGGTGTGTTTGAAATGATGTTACTTTGAAAATGGTTGTGAGAAAGCAACTACGAGCGTTCTACCTACTCAAAAGGTCTTAGTTATTTTCCTCCTCCTTTAGATATTTCTATCTTACTATTGATTTGATAAGAAGCCCTATCATTAGGTGTGAGTGGACATGCGCGGGTCATCGTACAGTCATAGGAAGCAACATTGTAGGATACCTTAGCAATTTGTTGTGAGGGTCTAAGATCGTTTACGAAGGCAACATCGAAGGGTCATCGAGGGACTACGATCTTGTATTCGAGGGTTTTTGCTAAAGTATCCCACGTTCGAGGGACATGACTGATTTTATCCGAGGCAACAAGTAGGGTTATCCTAGAGGTGCAAGTGTGCAAAGTGTTTGTTTTCCATGCTTTCTTGTCTTGAGATTAGGGTTCTCTATTGTTTGATTTTTAGTTTTCCCATACACACCCTAATTACTAGAAATTATATTGAAAGTGGTAAATTGCGGAAATATAAATTCTATGTTATTACATCTTTTTTGGGGATGGGGGATACAAATTTACAAATGGGGGTGACAAGTAATTTAAGCCTATGTTACTATTACAACCATATTGAATTGAATGATAATGTATAAGAAATATAGATATAATGTACAAAGAATAAAATGATATGGAAAGAAACGAAAATGTTTTTTTATGAAGAAAGTGTTTTGACCTAATTAACTAAAAGAAAATAAATAAATTAAACTAAGAAAATTAAACTTAAGTTAATTAAGAAAATTAATTTGATTAAAGAAACAAATTTAGGATTTTTGTGAAAAGGTTTTAATTAAATTAAATTAGTATATATATAAAAAATTAATTAATTAAAAGCACTAAGTTCTAAATAAATTTTAAATGAAAGAAAAGATAAACTTAAGGTCAAATATTAAATTAATTTTAAGAAAAGAAATTGATTTTAATAAAAAATATTTTTTTTGGCTTTTAGTTTAGAAATAAATATCAATAGGAATATATTAAAGTTATAAATAATAAATAAAATATTTTAAAAAAATCAAAACCAACTCAATATGTATTGATACATAATGGCTTGCATTGGCTCATTTTTCTGTTTTGCATCGACACATGTCATTTTCTTGCTTCCGGAAGTCAAAAATAGCTCAGTATGAGTCGACACATAAGGGTTTGTATCGACTCATTTCCGTTTTGTATCGACACATGCGCGTTTTGTATCGACTCATTTTCGTTTTGTATCGACGCATGCGCGTTTTGTATCGACTCATAACTTGTTTTGTACATAGCATGTATCGTCTCATAGTGTTTCGTATCAACTCATACTGCTCTTTTTTTTACTTCTATCATTGTTCTGCTAAATGTAAAAGTCAGTTCTCAACACATGGTTAGTGAAAATGAAAAGCAAGCATATGGTTAGCTTCAAGGCAATAATATCTACATTTTATCTTCACAAATGAACCATTAATGATGCTTTATATGAAGAGTTCAAAGTCAAGAAAACTTACCTTGAAACTGAAATTTGTGTTTTGACTTAGAGTTGGAGAAACCAAGTTGCAGGTGGCTTTTTTTGGTAAATGATGATGATGATGATGTAACAGAAGTTATTCTTGTGTTTGAACAACTTCTATATGGGGTATATGAAGTATGTGGATGATTTATTTGGACAGAATTTATAAAGTGTGAGAGGTTCAAATTAGCTTCAAAGCTCAAGAGTGAGGGTTTTATGGACAGTTGAGGCCTTTTGAGAGTATGAGATTTTGAGGGTTTGTCTACCCAATAAAACTTCTGCCCTTGACTTGTAAATGACCTCTCCATTTATAGAGGAGGTTTGAGAGAATGAGAAAGTTTATTTTTTAAGCTGTCAAAATTCTAGTTTAGTTGAGATGAAACAACTAAGTTATTATGAAAATTGGTGTTCCAATGCATGGTACAAGCATGGTCTGAAGTTGCTAGAGGCTTTTAGACATTTTTCTTCTTGCTTTGACATTGTGTATGAGTAGAGAAAACAATTGAGAGATTCAAGGAGAGCTGATTTTGTATAAAACATGATTTATGTGAATGACAATGGTGTCTTTGTGCCATAAATGGAATGATGCAATGGACAATACTTGAATCACTTGGATAATGGTTCAATCAATTGTGTAAACATCTGATTATGGATAGCTTTGCAAGTCAAAAGACCTGCAAAGTAAGATTATGCAGCATGGCATAAGGATTTTGTTATATGTTCTTCAACAAAATGACTTGCAATTCAAGAATGGATGCCTAACTTCAGACCCTTGAATCTCCTAGCTCAAGTATGATAAATTCATGCTCTTGGATGTTTTGGAAAGCTTGAAACATCCTCTATAACTTTCATGTTGGTCATTTTGACAAAATCATCTTGGAACCATGTGAAAAAATGTCAAGAATTTGAGATAAAATCCTGACCAAAATCTGTTGGAAATTTCTAAGTGTTAGATGAAAATGTCATGACTTCATGGGCTTATATCTTCAAATATAAGTGTTTTTTGGACATCAACCCTCTAATACAAAATTGTAGAATTCATCAAGATCTACAACTTTCATATTGAAAATTTCCTTTGAATCATCATGCATCTTGGTGAAAAATTGTCATGAAATAGTGAAATTATCATGTACAAAACACTTATAAAGAAGAAGTTGTCAAGAGAAAAAAAAATCACCATAGATGACCCCATCTATCCCAAATGATGAAGGGGATGATCAAATAACTAGTGGATTAAAAGGGACTGAAAGTTAGAAGTAGGCGAAAGAGTGTGATAAACATAGGACATTGAAAAAATACTACGTTTAACAAATTTCTAATTCCACTTATCTCTATCCAAGTAATTAGAATGACCTTGAATGACGGAAAGAAAATTTACAACAATTGATTTCTCATTAACGAAGAAAGACTTTTTCTATCCAAAATCTCAAATAAAGATCTCATCTATCCACCTACCTACCTCTCCCACACTCAAGATAATCAGAGATTGTAGACCACCTAAGAAACCTAATCTTAAAGAGAGATATTTAAACTGATTCACAATGACATATTCGGAGCTTGCATGCTTAAGAATATCTATTAGTTTTAATTTTTCTATATTCCTTTTGGTCATCTTTTGTACCCAAAAGAAATTATGTTAACTACTTGTTTACAATCTCTTGGTTATGTAACATGAAAAATTTAAAATATTGTCATGCACAACTATTTAAAGAAATGGAAGATGTATATTATTGAAAATAATTACGTAAACGCATAAAATACGTGTATTATCAAATACATTGAACATCAACATGAGCTTTTTGCATGACTAGCAATTGTTTCTAACTTCAAATGAAAAAGATATCCATTAGCTCAATGAGTATTGCATGCATACCACAGCGAATTTGAATCTTCTTCAAGCTAGCTTCTAGAAAATTTAAGAGTGCACAAATATGATATGAGATCAGAAACTTTGAAAATATACATTTTTCTCAAGATATTGCCAATTTTGTGGTTCAGATGAACTCTCTGGCAAACCTGCAAAATGGTTAAATAAAAACATGAACAATCAAAAGCAAAAAAAAATGTTCTAAACTTTTATTATTCATGCACGCAAAATATTTTAGCAGTGTATAAATTACTTGAAGATGATACTGCTTCGGTAAGTTTTCTTTGCAGCTCAGAGAAATCAACGCCGGTCATTATCGGATCCTTCAAAGAAATATACAAATGAATGTTAGTAACCAAATTTAGAGCAAATGGTACTGTTTTTATAGTCTCCCATGGTTTTAAATTGCAGTTTCGGCTGCAGCTTCTATTGCGGTTGCGGTCACTCTGGTTGCGGCTATAACAGCGATTGCGGTCACTCCAATTGCGGCTATTGCAGCGGTTGCGATGCTGATTAGAGTTGCTTTGGCTCGAATTTATTTTTTTATGAACATAAAATATTATACTTTATTATTTATTTTATGTTTGATATATATATATATATATAGGTATAACATTTGTGCCACTTTCACATATAGGTATAACATTATTTATGAACATGTTTACTGCATGCTAGTGACAAATAAGTTGAAATATTATACCTCAGATAGTATGTTGTATATGAATCTGCCATCTATTTTGTTGGAAGTACAGCTTATTACATTAAGCCCTTCTTTAGCCAGCATGAAAAGCACTTTTGACAAAGGAAAGAAACACTTCTTGAAGCTGTAACTGCACACAATCTCAATTCCTCCAGGGAAAGGTTGAACAATAACAAAGGGTTGAAGATTGGTAGCACTAGTAGATTCAGTTTGAGGGACGTTTGTATTCAAACTAGACATATTCGTTAACTCTTCCTTCTTAGCTTCTAACTGCTTCACCTTGATTTGTAGGTGGTTGATATAGTTCATAGCCTCATTCACATGATCCGAAATCGAGCGTTTTCCCTAAATATGTTCATAATCAAATCATACAACTAAAAAATATATATCAAATAACATAACCGTCTTTAAAAATATATAAGATAAAGTATAACACAAAATATTCTATCATCAATAGGATTCCTAAAATATTCAGCGGTTAAACGTGGCAAAATAGGACCACAGATCTATTTATTTTTTCGTAGTTAAACTCAAATTGCAGAATCTCTAAATTCAGGTCCTTAGAGAATAGTATTTTACTCCATAGTAGACATATGAATTTAACAAAAAAAAATTGATGAAATAATAAAGAGATAGACTTGGGTATAGGTGCTTACCTTAATATACTCTAAAGGAAGAAGAGATCTAAGGTTGGTGCAGAGGTTGGCCATCTCTTGTCTTCTTTGTCTTTCAGTCTCTTTATGCATCCACTTCTTGTTTTCTTCCATGCTATAATCCTATAATATCCACTTCCACTTACTCTACTATTTCACTCTCAAAAATCATGCAATTTCAAAGGAATCTTCTAATTTCTGAGGTTGTTTTTCATGGTGGGAAGAAATTATTTGTAGATCAAAACCAAAAGATCAACTTAAACAAAGAAAAACTAAAAGATCAACTCAACTTTTAATTAGTTGGTTAGGATTAGTGTATACTATTTTTGTGGGGTTGACAAAGATACTGTAACAAGGAAATCAAGGTATATTTGGTGGTTAGGGTTTTGATAGTACTTTACAATTTCCAGATATGTTTGGATTCTCAAATCCTTCATATATAAGATAAGATCCGTCTCCACCTGCCAAATATCATAGTTTTCATTAATATTTTCTCTACCTTTATAAATTATTATTCCGGTGGGACATAGGTTAATAAAAAAATATTATGGTGGGACATGGTCTTTTCTCTTTCTTTTGAATGCGAACGGTCCAACTTAAATAAAAAATATTTTTTATGGTAATGCTTTTTAATGAACAATGATTTAAAATAACATTGAACTCATGAGTGAGAATACTAGAGAATCGAATTATGTTTTGTAAGTTTGAGTCTGTTTTATAATAAAAATTTAAATTTAAATTTAATATATAATTTGTTGTAAATTTATTTTTAAGTATAATTAGTTTGATAATCTATTTAAAAATTTATTTCATTTGAAAATGTATAAATAAGCAATTCAAGTAATATTTAAATACATTAAACATACTAAAGTTTTGTTTGGATCGACGGAATCGGATGGAGCGTAACAAAATAAAATAGAATAAAATGATATTTCATTGTTTGGATAATTTAAAAATAAATAGAGCAAAGCGGAACTGAATGTTATGAATTTCATTTCATTCGATCACTTATTACTATTTCCTTCCCTTTTGATTTGGACGGAATGAACAACTTAACTTGTTTTGTTCTAAAACTTCCAAATAATGAAATGATATCTTTGTTCTGCTCCGCTTCATTCTGCTCCATCTCATTCCACTCTGCTTCATTCCACTCCGTCCATTTCATGATATCCAAACATAACCTAAAAGATCAATGATATTAAAGATTTGTCTGGATCAACTTATCTGAACTTAAATAATAAAATAAATTTTGTAAAACTATTTGTTTAAGAAAATTGTGAAAACAACGTATGACATTGGTATTTTCTACTCATTTTCATAAGTTTATCAACATAACTAAGGTTTATTTTTATATTTAAATTTAATATACAAATAAATAATATAATAATAATGATAAAATTATTCTAATTTTTTTAAATAAGTCGGTTTAATAAGTTTCAAAAACTTTTTTATAACATATTACTAACATTCTTAATTAAATAGATTTATAAAAAAGTCTAAGTATTTTCAATTTAAAAAAAAAAATTAAGCATAGCCTAGACTTATGTAAGTTAGACTATATGCTCCAATAAATTAGCCAGAAATATTTTCATCACTATTTATACCCTATCCCAAAATAATTATTATTTCTATTTCTTATTATAAGTTGTTTTTTCTTTTCAAAAATAAATATAAGTCATTTTAACAATTTTACATATATTAAAAAGTTATTATTCTGTAAAATTATAAAAAGACTTTATAAAATTATTTTTTATTACTAATATGAAAAAGATAAATTTTAAAAATTAAAATTAAAAAATAAATAAATATTTGAAGGTATAATAAATAATAACATTAAAAATTTATTAGTATTCTGATAATTTATATTTAATATAATTTTTTAAAGTGATTTATAAAAAAAAATAGAGGGGTATGACATTACAATTTTATATTTTAAAAAATGAAATAAATAAGAGGTTTTGATTTTTATTAACTTAACTTTATTAGCTACTTACATATTTTTATTATTGTAAATGTAAAATAACAAGTATAATTTTTAAATATGATGATGTTTTGTTAGATTTTAATCAATATTTATATAATTTATATAAAAAAATATAATATTAAATATTACTGTTAATTTGGAACAATATAGTGAATTACTCTAGTGCCAACTAAATGTAAATTTTATGGTATAGGAACTTCTGGATCTAGGATGATACACAATGCAGATGTTTGGATTTATTGTGAGACAAATATCATTTAATTATTTTGGAGTTCTTATATTTAAAGGCAGGCTAAGAACTCGTCATCTTTATAGCAAATAGAGTATTGACGAATTTACAGGGTTCAATTGGTCCAGTCAGTCATATAAGGCATGTTTCTGTATAGTCTTGAGATTTATGAATGGTCAATCAATATTCTTAACAAACTAAATTCTTGCATTGGAAATTTTGTGTGGACAGGGAGCATAGATAATAGAAAGTTGATTACTAGATCTTAAAAGGTTACTTGCTCACCTTTGTCTAAAAAAGGTCTTAATCTTAGAGATATTAAGACAATAAACAAAGTTATTTGTTTATCTCTTTTTGTTAACAGTATTTTACTATCAATAATCAATTGTCTTCTATGCTTATTAGTTGATACTTCAGGCTCAAAAAATTAACCATGCATCATATTTCTTATTCAATATGAATTGTCATTAAGCATTCATTTTCCTTTCTAGAGGAACATAGTAGATGACATATTGGTAATGCGGAGAATATTGATTTATGGACTGAAAATTAGTTGGGATACATAATTAAATACTTACACCTAGTATTATCAGTGGATATTCAATTTATGCAAACTAGTAAGGTCAATTCAATTATCCAAGATATCAATTGGAACATTCTTTGTGGCTTATCTGTTTTTGCCTCTTCAAATTATTTAAGATATTTTAAAGATTAACTTGTCATTTTCTAATACTTCTATTGATAAACTTATTTGTATATGATCCCTAAATGGTGACCAATCTTTTAAAGATGCCTATAAATCACATCGAGTTTTCCTGGACAAAATTAATTTGGCATCCTTACATACCACTTGTTAAGTCATTAGTAACTTGGAAATTAATGCATAATGTTATTACAATAGAAGACAACCTGATTCAAAGAGGAATATAAATGGTTTTGAGGTGCTCTCTCAGTAATTATAGTATGAAAACTACATACCACTTGTTTTTTAAATGCATATATACTTTACTTATTGGATGGATCAATTATTTGTCATGAACATTAATAAAACTAGTTACAAAAGCTTATTCAAACTTGTTGGTAGAAATTGTAGCTCTCAAATTCAGAATATGATAATGACTTTCATCATAATAGTTCTTTGGAAAACATGACATACAAGAAATAGTATCAGGTTTCAAAATGGTAATATTGACTCTAAGAGAGACATTTTCAGGTTAAATAATTGGTCAAATGTCGACCTCCTCCTGTACCTAGAATCATACAAGTTAATTAGTGTTTTCCTGATCATAATTGGATTAAGTGCAACACATATAGAGCTTCAAGAGGAAATCCTGGAATATTAACTTTGATGAATCAAGCGCTTACCACCAGGTCAAAAGAAAATGTTATTAGTCATGGTGCAACTATCTTCCCTTATAGTGAATCATGGCCTACCCGGCCAACCTGACAAGGGGCCTACCTGGCCCACCTAATACACCTGCGTAGGTGCTAATGGGTGGGATGTTAAGCTCATCGAATCCCCCAGGAAGACGTTGGATTAAATAATCCAACAATCTTCCCCAGTGTTAATCAAGGGGATTTGAATCCATGACCTTGATTTGATAGTAATTGATGGATCAAGCGCTTACCACTAAGCCAAAAGAAATTGTTAGTCAGGGTGAAATTATCTTTCCATATAGTGAATCGTGGCCTACCCGACCAACCTGAAAAGGGGCCTACCTGGTCCACCTAACACACCTGTGTAGGCGTCCATGGGTGGGATGTTAAGTCCATCGAATCCCAGAAGACGTTGGATTAAATAATCCAACAAACTTGTGGTGCCATACTTATGGATAATTTAGTAAAACTCTTGGGAGAATTCTCAACTAAGATTAGAGTTTGAACCTCTTATCAAGTTGAATTGCATGGAATCATGTTTGTTATTGAATATTTTAACATGGAGAATTAGATAAAAAAAATTACTTAAAATTCACTCAATGTTGGTCATTAGTGCATTTTCTAATCTGAATATTGTCCCTTGGCATCTTTTAATTAAATGGAAGAATATTTTACACACTATGCACTCCCTTAGATTCAAGATATCTCACATTTTTAAATAGGAAAGTGCATGTGTTTATAGATAGGTCCATGAAAGTTTTTTTTGTTGATGATGACAGTTGGTAGAATTCACTTCCTATTTCCTATTTGTGCTTTTGAATATTTTTTGAGAGATAGTTTGGACATATCCAACTATTGTTTTTGCTAGTTTTTTGATGGGTTAGGTTTTACATCTCCTCATTTTTTTCGTTTTCCTTTTTAATTCAATAAATTGTCTTTATTAAAATAGAATATTTAATTTAATTAAAGATTTATTATATTCAATATAATTCATTTAATTAAATATAATTTGATTTGATTTAATTTAATAAATGAGAGTTGGTGATGATTTATATGAAATGTGATTTAATTTAATTAATATTTATATTTAACTAAATAATCAGTTATATTAAATATGCTCTTATTTTGAGAAGAAAAAACGTCCAAATAGTTGTTTTAAAGTTATTGTAATTTTATATCTATATCTATGTATATCTATGTAGTCTTTGTAAGAGATTAATAATTAACGGGGGTTAAAGTAGGGTGATCTCTTAGCCCCCTTTCATGTTGATTTTTATGATTTAGAGTTTAAGTAATTTGATTGGTAGGACAGTCAATTTTAGTCTCTTCATAGGTTTTAAAGGTGTACAATCTGACTCGGCGGACACCCACTTATATTATGTATATGACACGCTTGTTATGGGAGAGGTTATGATAGGCAAGCTTTGGACAATAAAAACCATCTTTAGGGATTTGAAATTTTCTTGAGTCTCCGGGTTAACTTATCCAAAATTATATTTATTTGGTTAGTGGCACCAGACTTTA